CTTTTCAAATATTAATGTATATATAAAATATTGATTATTATGTATTGATTCAAGATTTTGTTTATATCTTTACTAGCTATACTACTCATACTTAAGATTAGAAAAGCTACAAAATTATCAAAATACAATATGTTTTCAGCATCAAAAAGGATCAGATAAAATGTATTGCCTACTAACAGCTTCTGAACTTATTACATATAGTATATATTCAGAAAATATATGATTGATAAAATAAAAACAATTATATTATCATTATTTATATGAACAGAAAATATATACTTTAATGAAAAACTTTTAAATGTAAATACTATGATAAAAGAATATAAATTACCATCAATTTTTTTTACTTTAACTACAGCAGAATCTAAATGGACTCACTTAAAAGAAATATTAAAATTAATACATAATAAAAATACAATATTATCAAATAGATAATTAGATATAGCTCTGCATTTTATATATCACAAAAAAGAAATTTAGAATCATATTTAGAAAAATCTTGCAAATAGCAATTGGATCATCTTAATTATTTTTTTGAACATATAGAATTTTAAAATAGAGAAGCACTACATACTTATTCAATACTTTGAGTTGAAAAAAGTATAACAGAAATAATAGTAAAAAATCTAATTAAATCTGATTTACCAGATCAAAACTTTAAATCAGAACTTTACCAATTAGTATTAACACATTAAATTTATATATGTAATTCTAGAAAGTGTGGTAAATCAGTACCTTCAAGTTAAATATGTAAAAAATAATTTTCTGACTATATTCTCTAATTACATATTATAATACTAAAGAATTTAAATATATACTATATATCGATGTATAACTGAAAAAGATAGATAGATAGTTCTTTACTATCTACTTACAATTTTATTATGAAATGCTCATATGAATATACAATATGTGAGTTCTAAATATCTTAGTAAATATTTAACAAAATATGTTATTAAATTAAAACTTTCATATGTATTTAATATATTAGAAGATGATAAGTATCATGAGCATATAATTGTTTGATGATTAAGCTCAATGGAATGTATATTTTTATTACTTGGTAAAATAATATGCAAATCATTAGTAAAAGTAAAATATCTACTTACTAAACTGTTAATAACTCATTCACGTATAATAAGACCAATATTAATAATATTAGAAGATGATAATAATCTATATTAGAAGACACAATTGAAAAATATTTTGCACATTCATATAATAAATAATTTAATAATATAACTTATCCTGATTATTTTAAAAATTATACATTATCAATTAAAAAACCTTCAAATAATGAAATTTACAAAGATAATTTAAACTATTATGTTATTAAGAGAACATCTTCATTAATTATATATTATAGACAACTTAAAATTCAGAATAGAGAACTATATTTTTATCAACAATTATTTTTTATAATATCTTGCAGATTAAAAGATTAATTATTTGGTAATTTTACATCTTATTAAAAAATATTTAAATTTACATTGAAGCTGTGATCTGTAACTGCACTTCAATTAGTTAGGTAATCAAAATGATTAACAAAGTTAATAAAGTGAACAAATTAGACTAAGTTGCTAAAGTGATTATTGTTAATCTATTAGATAGATTAGTTATAATTATTATATTTGTTAATTATATTATAGATAGTAGAGTAGTTATATTTATCTTATATATTTATTTTATCTTTATTATTATATTTATTATTGTATATTTTATATTATTTTATTTTGTATAAATATCTTGTATTTTTTCTTGAGTTGAAAAGTAACTCAAGTTAAGATTTTAGGATAAACCAAGAGTTTAATAAAAAAATTATTAAATTCATTTACTATTATTTATTGTCGTGTCTTCATACAGGTATGATTGTGATATTGTCTTATATTTAATTCAATGGATTGAATTAAAAGTTTATCATTTAAGTTTACAGATACCAAGCAAACAACATTCAGATTTTTAGAATCCAATTCAAAATTCTATAAATACAATAGTAGGAGAAAATAGATATTCATTATAAAATCAATTTAACACAATCATAACTAACATATTAGAAAATCTTGAAGGTAAAATCACTTTACAAATATCAAAAATTTTTACTAAACAATTATATAATTTAAAATTAATACTATTAATATTTTTGTTAAATTTAATGTTAAACTTACCAGAAGAATAATACATTATATATAATATAATTATATCTACTTGTAGACTAATATCACAATTTAAAAAATATTTATTTTTCTTTATTACAGGATCTGGTAGAACTAGAAAATCATATTTAACAAAATTAATTATTGATTAGATAAAATCAGAAAGAAAAACTTATCTTTTAATAGCTCTAACAAAATAGTTGCACAAAATATTAAAGGATTTACTATTTATTTTACATTTAGAATAATACAAATAGAATCAGGTTATCAATCATTAGCTTTTTATAATCTTGAATTTAAAAAAAAATTATAGAAAATTCAAATATTAATTATAGATGAAATATCAATAGTTTCTCTTCATTATTTAATTTTATTTCTGATTTATTTGCTAGAATTCACAATTTTGATATAGCATTTGGAGGTATCTGTGTTATTATTGCAAGTGATTTAACACAACTTCCATCAGTAAAAGGTGAAGCTATATTTTATTCATCAGTATAGCAATTATTTCATCCTTATTTTTGTACAAATCCCAAAGATATAATGAAGATAATGAATTTTATAAAATGTTGGAAGAAATTAGATTTGAAAGCAACCTGGACAAAACTTATAGAAAAAGCAACAAATTATAATAATAATCAATCTTTAGATTCATTATTAACAACAACATATATTGTTGAATATTGTAAAATATCAAAACAAATTGACAACACAATTTGCAACCTACTTCCAATTAATAATGAAAAATATTCATTAGCAGAAGCTATAGATTTTATAGAAGGTAAACAAGTATCACCAGAACTTGTTCAAACAGAATTTAAAACAAAACAAATATGCCATCAACAGTTAGACTCCAACAAGGTGCACAAGTTATGTATCTAAATAACTCATTAATAAAAGATGGTATATGCAATGGAATTATCAGTGTAATCACTGATATAGATAAATAACATCCAAGTGTGCAAATAGCATCTTGTGTACATGGTGCAATTATTCAAAGATGGATTACAAGAGAAACATCCTACTTTTATTCAGGGGGTCAACATGCATCTAGAATTCAGTTTCCATTATAAAACTCATTTTCTTTAACAGTTCATAAAACCCAGGGTCTTACCTTACATTCCATTTCAATAGATCTTAGCCAACTATTTGCACCTGGTCAAGCATATACAGCAATCAGCAGATGTTCAAAATGGCAGTATGTTCAAATAATAAATTTAGATAAAAATTCATTTATAGTAGATCCAAATGTAATTAAAGAATATTCTCGTCTAAAACAAAAAGCATCACAACCACTTCCAATTTAATAAATTATTATAATGCAATACATATTCCAGCAAATTTAATGAAGATACTTATAAATATTAAATAAAATATATATATTACTTCCAAATATTAATTAAGGCCGGCCCCTAGCCGGCCATGATTAAAAATCTAGTTATCTTATAATATTAAATTCAATAAAAATAATTTTATTAAAAAATTTATTGCTTTAATTAAAAAGCTTTTTTAAATTTTGTTAATAATTTTTTTATTTAAAAAAATTTAAAATGTCAATAAGCAAAAACTTACTGAATTAGGAAAGGTGCATACCACAAATATTAAGATCTTCCAATTAATTACCTATTAAAATTTCATAATGGTTTATACTAGGGAATTCCTTGTTTAAAATTCTAATAATCTAATTTTTGATTATTACTTCTAAAATTTACTTAACGAAAGATTAAGTACCGTGCGTTACAGTTTACTATGTTCGTAACTCGGTTTAATAAAGACCTCCCAAATAATAACCAAAATTACAAAAATTTTATAATTATATATTACAAACCAGCGGAACATCATTTACTTAGAACCAAATATGATGTTTAGTATATAGTGCAAAAGATTGAGAGGGCAAAGAATTTTTATACGTTCCGAAAAAATTTTAATTCATATGATTAAAACTTTACAAGATAGGCGCAGCTTGATTCTGGCTTTAAGGTTTGCTTATTGCTAGTTAATTAATAAATAAAAGTTTATATATCGATATAGCCACAATCGCCAATTAAATTTATAAGTAACGATATATATTATTATCATTTACTTTTCGTGTAAAATTCATTATTTTTTTTTATCATTCATACTTTTTATATTTTTTAGCATAGAAATTTTAATCCTTGAAGTCATCGACTTTGTTTTTTTTTTTAATAAAGTGCTAATGCTTTAAATTTTTAATTATAAAACTCTTTCGTTTCTCAAATTTTATTTATATCCGTATTTAAAGAAATGCAATGATATGAAAATGGGTGAACATAAACTTCCTACAATCCTTATAATTTGAGCAGGCCCAGGTGGGCTAGCTTTAGCGCATTCTATTCAAAAAAATCATAACACGATCGAAAAGAAATTTAATGTAAAAATCTTTGACCGTGAACCAAGCCCACAAGGTACTGATGTGGTATATTTTATGGTTACGGGCAAACCCTAATCCCATTTTGGCAAAAGTCAAAACATTTCGGTTTCAACGGTTATGATTTCGATACCTGTTGAAACCTCTAGGTTTTGCCCGGCATCCCGGCAACCTTAGTATACATTCGTCCTTTTCACGGTGTTAAATTCCCTCTTTTCAAACATTTAGATCGGTGGCAAGGTTATCATATTACATTACATTGCACGGGAGTAAAATCATTATTAAAATGAATTCCGGATCAATTGCTACGAGATCATTTAGGAAATGTATTATTTAAAACTCCGGGATATCAAGTTAAGAATGTTTATGAATTAAGTAAATTAAATAATCAATTTACATTTATTATAAGTTTTAGCAATAGATTGAGAAAATTTATTATTCGAGGGTATTGACGTGCAATGGGAAGAAATGTGTTGGATACCATGAAAATGAGGAAGGAGTTTGGGTTATCTTTGAAGATGGTGAGAGAGAGGAGATTTCTTGGTCGGCGCAGACGGAATTCATTCTGCAAGTAAGTCATGAATTGGAATATACAGCATATGTGATATTATTTTTTTTTTAAATTTGCGATGTTTACAGCATTATTGCTTTACAATTTAGATAGTTCGAAAACAGAAAATTCCTGAATTGAAAATAAATCATTTGGGAATAACGCAATATTGTATAGATGTCGCTCCAAATAAAGAACTTTTCGATCGAATATTATCAATCACCGGAAACAGTCTTCTACAAGTTTCGATGGGTCCGAAAGGAGATTGTACATTCTTAATTTTTCGTTTAATTCCATAGATTTTTCTAATGAGATTAATGAATCATCACGTTATAGAGTATCATTTGCTTATTCTTACCCTTCTGAACAACATGAAAAAGATGATAATTGGACTTATATGGATTTTGAACTATCAACAAGCAAATTCCCTGATAAGAAAATCTTGAAATGCATTTTAATGATATCAAGAAAAGAATTAAAGAAAATAGAGAGGTGAATTAATTTATATGTTTCTAGAAATCTGGGAATTATCTAAATTAAGGGTCGAAAATGATTATGGAAAATATCCTTTTAAAACCTTTTATCCTTTGAGAAGAAGGCCATTAAGAGATATTTATCCTGAAACCGTTGATCAATGGAAACTACGAGAGTAACTTTTTTTAGGTGATGCTGTACACGCCATGAATCCTTGGATTGGAATAGGTTTGTTTGTATTACATCATGAATTCTGTGTAAGAATTAATACCTTATGTTTGCCTAATTTTTTTTTCCTTTAGGAACTAGTAATGCCTTGACTAATTTGGATGAAGTAAATTGGTAAGAAAATATTCGAAAGTATGAATTAGGATTAAGAGGTCGCGTATCGTATTTACTTGAATCTATCAAGAGAAGCATATCTTGAACAACATCAAATTCGTAATGGTAGATTGAGTTTAATGATTAGAAACTTTACACTCAGATACAAAAGTTCAGTGATTTATATAATATCTTGGTGGAAAGGTGATGGCAAAGGGGGTAACGATCTTAACAAAGATGAAAATAAAATTTAATTGATCATAAAAAATTTTCTAAATCAATTAATCCAATTTTGAAAACAACATCCTTTATGCTAATTTTTTATATCGACTTTATTATCATTAAAGTCTACAAATTAAATTAGGCGCAACCTTAATAAATAATTAGTCTTGGCGTTAGGAAGAAATAAATTATATGTTGCGCGTTGTCAAACTGCGTTTCACCATTAAATGTAATTCAGGTAGGAGACCATTGACTAATCTTCTTGCTTTCATTGCAGCCGGATAATTAAAAGCTGGAGCTTCAATCCTTCGGTATAGTTCCTGTAGAGCACATACATAGCCAAAATGATTTCGAAAATCATATGCCCTATTTAAAAATTAATTATTTCAAAAAAAAAAAAATATCACTTTAAATTAAAGGACAAAATATTGCTTTTGTATTTAAATCAATTTTAACGGTGCCTATGCTTAATGTGGCGCATAGTTTTAATTATAAAAATGAGTGACGCGGTGTGACAGTTTATTTATCGAAATCACGTGCCTGATGGTTACTTCAATTTCTGTAACGTGATTTTGGAGATTAATCTGGGGGGTGAAAAATTTGCAATATACCCTAAATAAAATCCGAACCTTTTTGCGGATCATAACCCAACCGGAATTACCATACGAAGAAAATTCGCTCATGAGCGTAGATAAATTTAGGAATATAGATTCCGAGATCAGTTTAAAAAT